AATCCAGTCACTTTACAAAAACAGAAACTAGAATCCAGAGTTTAAGCAACTTACTAAGTTAAAACAGACACCAGATCAAAAAAGAAAGAAAAGCAAGAAAATCCCAATGATCATTAACGAATGCATACATTACCTGCACATCTGAATTCCGACTTCCACTTTGCAAAGCGAACGAACAGTCTTCAGGGTCCACTACAAGGGACAACTGTTTTGATGGCAGAAGAGGTGCGCCAGCACCTTGGCTGAAATTGCCTTGTGAACTTTTTGGACCATCCTCCACAGACTCACTCAAATTGATGACCGAGTCTCTAATGTTTGAGATGATCTCATTATTCTCAGCTAGCAAACGCTCCAAATGGTCTATTTTTTCTTGCAACGTTGAGAGCTGGCCCTACAATAAAAAAGAAAAAGGCAGCTATATGAAACTCTAATATAGCTCTGCTGGGGCACACACATTTTTTTTTTTTAAATTATGTGCCTGCCCAAGAGGGCAGCCACTCACCCTTCACTTTCCACTTTTATAAGTGGGACCACAAAAAGCGTGGACGGCTGGCAGTGTTGAAACACCAATTTACAACAAAAAATCTCCGTGGCTGCAATCTTTGTTTAATCATATTTTAAAATGTGCAAGAGAAAAACCAAAAATATTTTGGGATATATTTCCTATTGCCCCCAAACCCAATCCTAAAAGATCTGTTGAGTTCTCTATAATAGCTAAGTATAACATATTATGTTCAGGTATGAAATTTTAAATTTTAGTTAAATGATTCTAGTTACTTGAAAGGGTCAAAAAGTATGAACCTGAAAAAAATCATTCCATTGTAGTAACCCTAGTGGACAATCCTAAATAAGAAATATCATCTACAGGAAAATCAATTAGTCAACCCTCAATTAGCCACATGCATGAAAAGTAACCACGCTATAGGTCACGTAGACTGCTTCTCCTACATTGTGTGACTTTAAGGGTTTTTTTTTCTTTTAAGATTTTATTTATTTGACAGAGAGAAAGCTAGAGACAGAGCAGGAGTGGAGGGGGAGGGGCAGGGAGCCTGATGTGGGGCTTGATCCCAGGACCCTGGGATCAAAACCTAAGCTGAAGGCAGACCCTTAACCGACTGAGCCACCCAGGTGCCCCAACTTTAAGGTTTTTTAATTGATCCTCACATTAAGAGGCTTGTCATCTTTATAACATAAAACTTGTTGTAGAGAGTAGTATTTCAGCTTATGAGAGCAAGGACAATCTTTGTCTTATTCATTCCTATATATAGGGCCTTAAATACGTGGTAAATACTTAAATATCTGTCCCATGGCCCTTATATTTCTGGAACTCAACAATAATTCTTTAGTGAGCACCCACTGTACCAGGCAAATGCTACATGCTGGGAAGACAGATACACATAAGATATGGGTCCATACCTGAACACAAAAAGTGGCACTCTCACAAGCAACAGCCTACCCAAAGTCCACACTAGGGTTTAATAAAATAACTCTATGCCCAGCGAACAAATAACTCTGGACACCCAAAAACAAAAGTTCTATCACCAGTAAATAACAGGAAGACAGAAAGAAGAAGGAATGAAGTAACAGGAAGACAGTAAGAAAGAGGAAGGGGAAAAAAACACCTGAATGTCCAAAGGTGAAGAACTGGTCAAATGGTACATCTATATCATGGAAATGTTTTCAGTCACTGAAAATTTAGAAATATTAATTCCTTAAAAACAGAAATACGTGAATCACAGACCTGTACCCCTGAAACAAATAATGTATTATGTTAATAAAAAAATATATATATATATGGGAAGGTACTTTCAGAAGATACAGTAGAGAAAAAGTTTAAAAAGCATGCATAAAAAAAGTAGTAATTTGGTATCATCCTTTTGGAAAAAAAATTATGGAAGACCATAATCAAGATGGTAAAAACTGGTCACGGCATTCACAGGGAGTCCCCAAACCTCACACGGGCCAGTGCCCGCAAACCTCCTAAGGCAGTCCACCTTGGCAGCACTCGGATCCAGGAGCGTCACAGGGGTCACCACTGGAAGAACATCTCTAGGATTCTGCCTGCTTCCTTTTGTGGAAATTTACAAGAGGAAGGTTGACCCGATCTTGAGGCCACAGCGGTCAGGGCCCCGCCGACTAGAGCCCCTCCAGCTCCGACCCGCGGTCCCCCTCCGGAGGCAAAAGCAGCTCCGGGGTGAATTCCAGAGCAGAGCCACCTCCACACCAGTTCTCCCACCCGATCCGGCACCACTGGCAGAGTGAGAGGCAGCCCGAGAACGAGAGCCAGGTCTCGAGGCAGCTCAGCGCTGCTGGGGGAGGCCGGTTTCCTCTGACAAGGCACAGGGACGGGCTGTGCTGGGGCGGCTTCCTTCTCCCCAGGGTTGATCCGGAGCCCTGTCGATACATGTCACTGCACCCCGGGCGCAGGGCTGTGCCCGCACGGGGCTGTGTCTGATCTGGGGGCAGCAGTGGGGCTGGGCAGGAGGACGGTGAGGACGGCCGGGCAGGGCTCCGCTCACTGTCTTCGCAGAGCCCCATGGAAGAAATTGGGGACAAGCTGGTCAACAGGAGCCTCCCTCAACGGCTCCCCGGCGTGGGGCACGTGCACCAGGCAGTCGGTAAGGGCTGGTGCGGGCTCAGGGGGAGTGTGGGGATGAGGGCGCTCAAGGACCAGGCTCGGGGAGGGCCGGGAGTGTCTCCTGCCCCGACGCCATCCGGGACACTGACGACCCGGGGTGCCACGACGGCTGTGCCCCTTACATGGCCATGACCTCAACCCAAGGGGTCTGGGCTGCTCCCTTCACAGACACACACAAACAGACACACACGCCAAACACACACACACACCGAGTCCTTCAAACACACACACACACACACACACCTGGTCCTTCACACACAGACACACACACCCGGTCCAGCCCCAGCCTTGGCCAGGTACAAAATCACCCTTCACATACGTGGAAGATGATCCGAACCAATTTGGATATTCTGTGGCACTTCAGGACACGGACAGAAATAGTTTTGCAATTTCTGTGTTGTGAATTGTCCCTCCTTTACCACAGATCAGCCCCACCATGAACCTGAGTGGGCCCTGCCGCTGGGGGCGAGCCAGAGGCAGTGGGCGGTCCGTGCTGACAGCCTGAGGAAGCTGGTGGAGCCGGGCCAGGCCCTCTCCTGTGGCCCCTCTCCCGGAGCACCTCCCAGAGGAACGCCTCCCCAGCCCTTCCCACACCTGCTGCTCACCAAGGTGAGCAGGGCCCCCCGTCCCGCCCGGAGGCTCCCCCTCACCTGCGGGCTGTGTGTCTCGGGCCTGGCACGTCCCCTCTCCGAACCTCAGGTGTCTCCTGGGGACCCTGCGTGCCACGAGGCCAGGCCCCACACACGGGGTTGCCGTCGGGCCTGTTGGGACGGCTCCCCGACCCTGTGGCCGGCCCACGGGGAGGGTCGCCTGGGGCTGAGGCGGTTCCTCTTCACCGTGAAGGAGGTCTCTGCCCCAAGCCTCGCTGTCCTGTGTCCCGGGCAAAGCCGCATTCCTGGCTGTGAGGAGGTTTCAGATTCCATCTGGGGCTCCCATCCTGGGTGGAGCCAGAACAGGGATCCCTGGGGGCTGGCAGAGGGGCCCCAGAGCCACTCAGACATCTGAAAGGTGCTGGCTGGGCTTCATCGACTCCACACATGGACAGGAAGCCCCTTCTAGACATTTTCCATAATTCAGGGAACAGGGCAGACAAATGTCCCTGCCCCGCGGGCCTCTTTCTAGGTGGGGGTCCGCCACTAAGCCTAGACGACAAAGCAGAGATGGGCACACGATGTTGCGTGGGACGCCCTGCCGGCCTCCCCTACATACGGATCCCTCTGCTCTCATTGTCCGAAGGATGACGGGCCCTAGGACGAAGAAGAGCCCTTGTCTCAGAGGTGGTGAGGGAACGCGGGGGACCGGTCAGGTGCGGAGCCATGGGTCTCGTGCACATCTGCCGCAGGGCTGGGTCATGGTCCAGGAGCTGTGGGCAGGTCGTCTGTGCACACCTGGCCATGACACACCTGGCTGGCCCTCTCGGTGGGGAGGCCTGCGTGCACCTGTCCCCCACCTACCCCTGGAGGAGCAGCCACGTTCAAGCCTTTCCATGTCCGACCCTCAGGGACAGTTGGGAACCTGGGTCAAGAGAGGCAGGGACTGGCCCAGGACAAATGAGGGGTGCAGAGTCCAAGGAGCTGCTCTCCAGTCCCAACCCTCCCATGAGGTTTGCTTTGGGGGTGAGAGCCCCTCAGATCCTCAGGAATAGCTACCCACACCGTCCCATGTGGGGACATGACCTTGCCATCCCCAGGCACGTAGAGGCACATGCACCTGCACACCCACCCCCACACCCACACACACACCACTCTGACTGCCCAGCTGGGGGTCAGAAGGGGAGGAAACCCTGGGAGCGAGGTGGGTGACAGGGGGGAAAGAAGAAACAGGTTGCAGACAGCTGGGCCATGGGGCAGGGCATCAGGACTCCTGGCAAGGACCCAGATCCATAGCATGGGGAGGGGAGACAGGCCAGGCTGAGGGTCAGGGGTCCCCAAGAGGCCCAGGGCGGTTGCCAGGGCACTGGGAGAGGACACGGTCTGGGTTCCGGTGTCCATCACCAGCCTGGGCACTTGGAAGCAGGAAGAGATACCCACCCCCAAGTCCAGAGGGGCTCCAGCACAAAGGCCTCAGCTTACTCTTCTGTCACTTGGGCTGTAGAGATGCAGTGTCCCTAGGGTCCCACAGGCTTGTGGGAGAGCCTGTTGGCCTTGGATCTCCATTCCCGACCCCCTGTGCCCCCAGTCCTGGGAAAATGCTTTGTACTCCCTCGAGGTCCTTCGGAGCAGAGGACAGACTGGGGGCTTGGGGGGCTGAGGACCTGGGTACGCAGAACGTGGCAGAGCACTGACCACTAGTCTGGGGACCAAGGCCAAGACCCTCCTTGTTGCAGCCTCCGGGTCTCCATTTGGAAGAGGTTCCAGATTCACTGCTCTGGTCCGGGTGACAAGGCCTTAGGAAGGAACGGAGCACCGGGACAGAAGAGGGAAACACGGACAAGGGAGGCTTCTGAGGTTTCTCACATCACCCCTGGAGTCCACAGATCCTGCTCCTGTGAGAGACACAGAGACAGAGACAGAAACAGAGAAGGAGACAGAGAATGAACACACGACAGTGGGAACCAGAAGAAGTCACAGACTTTCCTCCATCAGCTTGGAAATGACATCCCAGCATTTGGCCCCATTCTCCTCCTGAGAGTGCGGTCACACAGGCCATCCACCCCGGAGGGGAGGGGATTCCACAGGGATGTGTGAGCAGGATGCGGGAATGCCCGGGAACCACTGTGGGGACTGCCCAGCACGTGGGCGCAGACGAGGTCCCGGGGCCTGAGCCTAAACCTAATGGGAGCCCCTGGAAGTGTGCGTCACCAGGGGACAAGGTCGGAATCAGTTCATTGCAACCTTCCCACAGGGGCTGGGAACAGGCAAGAAGGGGGTGGCTTTGCCCAGACCCCAGAGCAGACCCAGGCCCCTCTGAGCTGTGCTCCATGTGCCGCCCAGCCCCTGGCTCATCCTTGCATTGCCAAGTGTGCCCCAGCCTCCTGTGAGAGCAGGTCCGGAATGTATGTAGAGGTCCTACCCCTGATGGCTTCCCTAGGAGTAGAAGCCAGAACACCCCACTGTGCAGATGGGGAGCCTGGGGAGGCCCTGAGAGGCACAGGGTCTGTCCAGGGTCACAGCCCTGGGCATGCAGGGGAGCCCAGTCTGAAGCCAGCTCTGTGTCCTCACAGCGGGGACACCGGCTGCACCCAGGCCTTGGGAAGGCTGTGGGGGGGCTGTGAGGAAGTCACTGTATGGATGGGGCATGGGGGGAGGGGGAGCATTGAGCAGCCCGGGGAGGGGGCCCTCGGGCGGGGATCTTGTGTGAGGAGGAAGTTGGGTAAGGGGACCCCAGGCAGTGGTGACCTCACTTCCCTGACAACAGAGTCCAACAGAATTTGGAACCCCGGTAACCAGGCACCCACATTCCAGAGACAGCCCCCTGCCCAGCTCATTTCTTTGGAGACCCTCCAACAAAAAGCATGTTCGGGTGCTGCTTCCCCAAATCTGGACGCTGCAGGCTGAAGAAAGAGCGCCCTGCAAACGCTGTCCCCCGCTGGGGATGTCGAATCAGGGCTCCCCACAGCCTCTGGCCATTTGGCCAGAAGGACAGAAAGGTGACACCAGGAGGCCCAGAGCCTGCCACCCAGCCCCACACGCTCTGATCTGCCTGTGGAGCCCCAGGCCCCCCTCCGTGTGTGTGTGTGTCTGTGAGTGTCTGTTTGTGAGTGTGAGTGTGCGTGCGTGTGTGTCTGTGGGTGTGCGTGCGTGTGTGTGTGTGTAAAGAGGGTTCATGCAGGGTGGGGCCACCCTGAGCAGGAGCAGGCTGATGAGGGGTCAGATTCCCAGTGGGCAGGTCATGTTCAAGGTCAAGGCTGGCTTGGTGGGATGGGGTGTGCGGGCGCTGCCCCTTCTACCCAGGGTTTATCCCGATCGCCCTGCAGGGATGGGTCACTGCATCCCGGGTGCAGGGCTGTGCACTCACAGGTCTGTGTCTGATCTGGGAGCAGCAGGGGGACTGGGCAGGAGGACAGTGAGGATGGCCAGGCAGGGCTGTGATGCCTCCAGCCGGCTACCCGTCCCTGTCTTTGCAGAAGGCCACGGATGACCTCCCGAGGCGGCTGGCGGACAGGCCCTCCTCCCTGATGGAGGGGTTGACCCCACAGGCATCCCCAAAAACAAGTGCTGGGGATTGCCGGGCAAGACCTCCAACACCACCCACACCACTGTCCCAGGTGGTTGGTCACCGGACAGTGGTCCAGGAGCCGGAGCCCACGGAGACCGAGCCTGAGGGTGAGAAGGCTGGGGCTGGGTGTTTGTGGTGTGTGGGGATGGGTCGGTGCTGGCCCCACAGGGACGAGCCCCCAGAGGCTGGTGTGGGGCCTGGAGCAACGACTGGGCGCAGAGCATCCAGCGGGTGGACTGCAGTCGGGGAGACACCCCAGGGAGGGCTCCTTCCTGGCTGCGGCTTCTCTGGGAGGCCCTGGGCTGGGTTCTGTCTCCGCAAAGGCCCACAGAGAGCGGGCTCGGGGTGAGCTTTTCTCCTCTCACAGCTGCCCCACCACCTGAGGAGCTCGAGCCCGTTCCAACTCCATCGGCAGCTCTGGACGGAGTGGTGGTGCCTGCAGCGACCTCAGGAGGAGACCAGGAGCCGGCAGGTGACCCGGCACCCACCCACGGACAGCCTGACGTGGACCAGGAAGAACTGGCACCTGCCCCTGACCCAGCTCCTACTACTGTTCCTGCCCCTGACCCAGCTCCTGCCCTGGATCCTGCCCCTGACCCAGCTCCTGCCCTGGATCCTGCACCTGCCACTGCTCCAACCCAGCTCCTGATCCTCCTCCTACCCCTTCCCCTGCCCCTGCCAGAGCCACGGCCCCTTCCCCTGCCTGAGCTCCGGTTCCTGCTCCTTCTCCTGCTCCTCTCCCTGCCCCTGCCAGACTCCGCTGCCCCTTCCCCTGACCCTTCCTGAGCTCCTGTTCTTGTCCCTGACCCTGCTCCTGCTCATAACCCTACCCCTGCCAGACCTGCTGCCCCTTCCCCTGCCCCTGCCTGAGCTCCTGTTCCTGCTCCTTTTCCTGCTCCTGCTCCTGCCCCTTCCCCTGCCAGACCTGCTGCCCCTGCCCCTGCCCCTGCCTGAGCTCCTGTTCCTGCTCCTTACCCAGGTCCTGCCCTAGATCCTGCACCTGCCACGACTGCTGATCCTATCCCTCCCCTTGCCCCTGCCCCTGGCCCTGCTCTTACACCTGGCCCTGCCCCTGGCCCTGCCCCTATCCCAACCCCTGCCCCTACTCCTGCTCCCGCAGGGCTCCCAGAGCCACATCCAGAGCCCACAGCCCTGCGGGGAGAGCTCCTTGTACAATTACCCTTAGGTCCATCGCCGGACCCCGACGCCCCGCCAGATTGTTTCATCCCCTCCCCCTATGTTCTTTCTCTCTGGTTCATATTGTTCTAGTTCATATTGTTCATTTTCATGTTCTCTATACTGTTTATTATTTGTTTTAAATAAAATTACTTGTTTTCAACTGAACGTGTGATGAGCATAAGTACATTCCCAACGCTGTGCCACCACACCCCAGAAGATTGCTGTGGAATATCTCATGTCTCAAAGGAGTCCCCGAACCAGAAGCCCCCCTGCCCATTTCGCCCCCAGCCCAGACCCTGGAAACACCTAAGCTGCTTTCTCTCCCTATTCTTTTACTTGTTCTGGATGTTTCTGTACATGGAATCATGCAATAGGAGCCTTTGTGTCTGCCCACTTATTTTCAAAGGGGACTCGTTTTCTTCTGTTTATTTGTCATAAAATTTCCCTTATTCGATATTGAAATCCCCGATTGATTACAGATCAGATGTAATCAGAGAGGCCACTTTAGGAATTATGGGCACAGGGGCGCCTGGGTGGCTCAGTCGTTAAGCATCTGCCTTCGGCTCAGGTCATGATCTCAGGGTCCTGGGATCGAGCCCCGCATTGGGCTCCCTGCTCCATGGGAACCCTGCTTCTCCTTCTCCCACTCCCCCTGCTCGTGATCTCTCTCCCTCTCACTCTCTCTCGCAAATAAATAAAATCTTTTTTAAAAAAAGGAATTACAGGCACAATCTCGGGGCAGAGACCCCTGTACCTGCTGGGACACCACAGCCTGACCCCAGACAGGAAACGGCTGGTTACTCCTGCGGCCCACACAGAAACCAGGTAAACGCAGAAAGCTGGAAGACACACCACAAAGCAAGGCCAGAGAAAGGTTTCACCTGACTCTGGTACAAACCACGCTCCAAGTCACTGGGTTCCACAGGGATGGAGACCAAACACATGCCAGTCCAAGGGGGAGGATAGGCATGCAGGGAATATGTGTCAGAGATGTGGAGCTCCCGGGGAAGGATTCCGGCAAAGGAAACCCTATGGAGGCAGCGCTCATCACCCTCAGACTGGCAGGTGTCTGGTCTGGGGAGAACGTGAGTAAGTGGAGGTCCAATGCAGGTCCCCTGGAGGAAAGGGTGACGGGCACCCCTGTCTGGGAGAACAGTGAGCATCACCCATCCCAGGCTGCAGGTGCACCCATCACCTGGCATGCTCGGCCTCAGACTCACCCCCGGAAACTCTGGCTCGGTTTTTCACAGATCTGCTTTCAGGAGTGTTCATCACAGCGGTGGTGGAGAGAGCAGGGAATGGAACAACGCTAATGCCCAAGGAGATGGATGGGATCCATGGTCCCAGTCCTCATGATAGAATGCCCTGTAGCCACTGTCACATTGTCATTCGGGGCACAGGATCCGGGAAGCCCCTCCTGAGACCCCTCCTGCCACCCTGTTCCTGGGAACATTGAGAATTGTTTGAGGAGGAGGTGGAGAGGATCCAGGATGACACCGGGTCCAAGGAGAAGGAAGGTCAGCACTGGGAGGACAGATGGACGTGCCCTGAGCCACCATCCAGGACCCAGGCTGTGATGCCCTCGGACCTCACCCCAAATAATGGCTCCTGAGGTACAGATCCAGCTTCTGTGGTTTCACTCCCTCCCTCCCTACGTCATTTATTCACTCATTCATCCCCCCCTCTCTCTCCTTCCCCTCCACTCCTCCCTTCCCTCCCCCACTCCCTCCCTCCCTGCCTCTCTGCCTCCCTCCCATCCTCCCTGCCTCCCTCCCTCCCCTCTACCCCTCCCATCCTCCCTTTCCTCCTGCCTTTCTCCCCTCCCCCTCCCCATCCTGCCTCCCTCCCATCCTCCCTTCCCTTCTCCCTCTCTCCCCTCCTTCTCTCCCATCGTCCCTCCCTCTCTCTTTCCCTCACTCCCATCCTCCCTCATTCAGCACAGGATCTGGGGTCCCTGCTGGGTACTGAGCACTGGGGCTTCATCAGTGAGCACCCCCCAACCCACATGGTCACGTCCACTGTGGGAGGTGATGGGGGGCAGTCCTCACGGCTAGCTCTGGCGATGAGCACTAGGAATCTGCTCCTGGAAACAGGCCAGTCGCACAAAGAAAAGAATGGAGAGACCCGTGTTTAGCACCTCCTCTAGAA